AGCGCCTTCAGCAGCACGTTCACCGTGACGCGGTCCGGCTGGAAGTTGTACCCTTTCATGAGCTCGTTCAGCGTATGCAGCGCGTTGCGTATGCGCCGCCCGTTCCGCGACCGACGCGAGATGCTAGCGTGCAGGATGCTGTTTCCGATGGCCGTCCGCAGCGGCGGTGACTGGTCCGCATGGATCTCGCTGTAGAGCCGCTTGGCAGCCCGCAGACTGCCAGCATCCACCAGTATCTGCAGTACGTCAGTGGTAGGGTTGTGTCTCCACGTCGAGACGTCTTTAAGGAACGCTGGGAGCTTGAGCGCGAGGAGACGCGACATCGGCCACTGGCGGATGGGGAACACGCGCACTGACCCCAGCACGCGCGTGTCCTGCAAAGAGTGCCTGATGATCCGTGAAGCCATTCTGGATGCCAACCGCCGCGTGCCTCGCAGCGACAGCTTCAAGGAAGACAGGGTCGGCTCGTGGTGAAGCTCCGGAGCCAGCCTGTAAACGCGAGCGGCGAGGCGATATTGCCTGTTCTTCAGCAATGCATGGATAAACATTACCAAAAAAGACGGCGCGAAATATAACACGTCGGCCTGCCGGACGGCCTGAACGATGGCCACGGCAGTGGCAGATTGCTGGAAGCGCGGCATAAGCAACAAAGTCGCTTGGAGATCACTACGTAGAGTTGCCGGGGGCGGAAGGAATGAGAATTGCTGCAAAAGCGCGTCGCCAATCGCCGGTGTGAAGTATTCAGTCCGGAAGCGGTGAGTCTGGCGCACGAGCACATGTATGATTTGGCGGAGTATCTCCAGATGCTGTTCTGGCGTAAGGCCGCCCCGGTGCAGATGCTCAAGAGCATGATGTATGGAACCAACGTTTGCCAGCGAGATAGCCAAAGTCGTAGTGACGGTGGTAGGAAGGTCGATCTCAATGCGACGGGCCACGAGTGATAATTCGTACGCCGTTTGAGAATCGGCGCTCGATAGCTTCGATATGACTTCCCCCACGATCTCCGATAGCCCAGCAGAAACTTGAAGACGGTTTGTTGTGTGAGCGAGCGCGGTTTCAGCGTTCGTTCCGCAAGACAACGACCACGTCAAGTATGCCTGGCCGAGAGACAGTACACTTGATGTGCCGGAATCTCTGTCCTCGCCCTCGACAACTGACCATAGACCTCGTGAGGAACAGTACATGTCACAAGCATTTCCCAGACGTCGGGTTCGAAGGTGTTCAGCAAGTCGTAAGAATGAAGTGCAAACAGCACGAACAATGGGGATGGGGACGGCTTCATCGGTAGCCGCATTCCAGTTCGCCCATATAATCTCGAGCATGCGCCCAGTCCTTTGAACGACCGCATTCGGTAGTGTTTCCTGTCGTACGAGCAATCGGTTTTCGAGATAGGTCAAAATGCAGATTGTCTGCCAGTGAGTACCCGCACTGCTAGATGACCGACCGGTTACGGCAGCCGAAAAATTTCCCGCTGCACGTCGAGGAGAATTGATGGCGATCGCCAGGATAACAAGATGGCTCCATCTATCTGCCAGAGGCTCTTCGCTTTTGTTTGGATGCATCAGTAGTTCCCGAGCGATAGAAAGCACCCATTCAGAGGATGGCCATGGAGATGGCTTTTGCAAGTTGAAGATTGCATCTTGAAAAAGAGAGACCACATCGTTGGTACGTATAGCTGTGCTGCGCTTATGTTGAGACCCACGATTCAACGTGTCGTCCGAGCAATCCGGATGGTGTAAGACAGACCGATGCCTCCTCAGGCATCGAGACACAGATAGAAGGATTTTCTCCTTATCAGCAGCCGAAATATCAAGCGTGGAATGCAACACCACCTTCCAAAGCAGCGGAAGTAGATGCGGTTGGGGATACGGATGGGTACGCAACAATTGGCAAAGTACCTGGATACATTGTCCGAAATGCGCGGTCGCTCCCGATGACAGTAATACCCGCAAATATGGGACATGGATCTCAGAATGAGATAAATGACAGAGCGAAGTATAGTTGAGCTTGGCAAGCCGCATATGCTTTTTTCGATCTGCGTCAGCGAGTTAGTCAGTAGGTAAACAACAGTTCGACGAAATGGATTCAGACCTGACACTGAGAGGCTGGAGTCCGCAATATATAATGTGGCAATATGTGCACGCATTAACCAGTATCGGTCAGAATCATTAAGCTGAAGGCCGACCGCGCGCTTGTCATTACCCAAACGTTGTATAAAAGGCCAGAATGGTTGGAACGACGCTGGGGACATGCATTCAATCATTTGATTACTGAAAAAGGAACGGTAGGGACGCTGAGGAGTTGACATAGACAAGGAACCAAATAGGCTGATGAGGTCGCTGAAATGCGCCGAGGTAAAGGACGCTAGCTGGCCACGGGCTTTGGCGCCGTAGTACAATCCACGGACATGGGTACTGGTGCAGTTGACAGTGGGAAGCGTCTCGGAAGGTGTTGGGGAGAGTAGCTCTCGCAAGCGATCAGCGAAGGAAGGCGTGGTTTGCACCGAAAAATGTGCCACGACACGGGATGGCGGTATGAAACACTGCGGATGTAAAGAATTTCTGGCGAATCCGCCCACGTTTGAGACGGTCCGCAGGCACCATCGCCACATTCCATTGCATAGAGCACACCTCAGTTACGCGCTCCGCTCTTGCAGCACGAAATGTGCGTCCAGAGGAAGACGCGTCTAGCGTGACGCGACGGTCGACAGGGCCTGTTCAACTCGTGAGTGCTGCAGAGATCCTGACACGAGGAGCAAGTGAGAGAACGAATGCTGTGGCAGGCGGATTGGTCGTAAGAGTTGAACAGTGCACCGTTGCCGTCGCAGGCTGCAGCTGCCAGCTGCTAACCTACGAGCGCTAAATATTGCACCTCCCAAATGAGAGCGCTTGTGCGCACTGTCGCACGTGATACCAGATGGCGATGGCACGGCATTCGGCTGACTGCGGAGGATGCCGGCTGATCTTGAACTAAATCTGAGGAACTGCACTTGCAACGTATCCACACAAGATTCGTGGTATCGGGGCCACCGCACCGCATATCTGCAACGACCAGTCGCCTTGAAAAATCCTTTGGCACGACAGGTAAGCTTGCGTGTCGTGCCTCCTAGACTCAATGCTAATGCATAAATCTCATAGAGGTCAATAGGGAGGCACTGATTCGATCTTATCCACCCTTCCACCTACACAAACCAACGTTAGTTTTACGGTCTGTATTTGCGATTCCTGGTCATGACGACTGTGTTCTAGTAAACGTTATCGCCATGGGTGCTACAAGAGCTCAGAAGGAATTATATTTCGCGAAGCTGAAGGATCTCATTGCGAAGTATCGTAAGTAACATCTGGCCATCTGTCCCGCCGTGCCCCTCAAAACACGTCGTCAGCTTCAATATTCGTTGTCAACGTCGACAATGTCGGTTCGAACCAGATGCACCAGATCCGTGTTGCCCTCCGCGGTAAGGGTATCGTCGTGATGGGCAAGAACACCATGGTTCGCCGCGCTCTGCGCTCCATCCTCGCCGAGTACCCCCAATTCGAGCGTCTGCTTCCCCACGTCAGGGGCAACATTGGCTTCGTCTTCACCTCGGGAGACCTCAAAGATATCCGTGACATTATCACAGCGAACAAAGTTGCCGCTCCTGCGCGTGCCGGTGCCCTTGCTCCCAAGGATGTCACTATCCCCGGTGGTAACACTGGTATGGAGCCGGGAAAGACCTCTTTCTTCCAGGCTCTCGGTATCCCGACCAAGATCGCTCGTGGTACCATTGAAATCGTGGCCGATGTGCAGGTCGTCACTGCGGGTACCCGTGTTGGTCCTTCCGAGGCCACCCTACTGAACATGTTGAACATCTCGCCGTTCACGTATGGTATGACGGTCGTCCAGATATTCGACGCTGGCAACGTGTTCACTCCAGACGTGCTCGATATCTCGGAGGAACATCTCTTGAGCCGGTTCATGTCCGGTGTCACGGCCATCGCTGCTATCTCGCTCGCGCTGCACTACCCCACCCTTGCATCCGTCATGCACTCTGTCGTTAACTCGTACAAGAACCTCCTCGCTGTTTCTGTTGCGACTGAGTACACCTTTGAGGGCTCTGAAAAGGTACGTTCTCTATCTTTAGTTCCTGCGGTTTGGGGGGGGGG